GGAAATATTGATATTGCGGCAGATATATACTTTTGGAAAATATTAAAAGGACATTGGATGTCCAGGGACATTGGATGTCCAGGAAATAAGAAAATATTGACACTGGTAGGTTTGGGCTGCCAAAATTCTGTTGCTTATCTTTCTGTCGCGGAAAGTATAAGATAATTTGTTGTGTGACACGGATGTCCAGGTGGTAAGTGTATGGACCGGTAGTTGCAGATTAAATGTTTTGCAAATGATTTGTCCTGAATGTGTATGTGGACTATTTTTAGTCATTGTATTCCTGGAGGTTACCTTGTGAGTAAAGTAGAAAAAGGATATAAATATAAATTAGGCAAAAGACTCTTTTTTGATCAAGGCATTCCTAACATACAGATAGAAAAGGTAAATTTACATTGTCCAGTAGAATTTCAAGAGGGACTTACAGTGGAAGAAGTTAAAAGACAGGTTAGAGACAAAGGATATTATTATATAGAGTGTTCTTTTCAGGGTACAGAGTAGGAAGAGTTGTATATTCTTTCTCTGTTTTTCTATATTTTTTGTGATAAGAGTGATAATTGGTCACAGATCACTCCACCTGAGAAGGTATACAAGTGACTAGATTTATATTTTAGGAAGACGTATCTGAGGGAAACTCAGTTGGCAGTCAAGCACTATGAATCACTTTCACTTTCCTTTTTTCTTTTTTTTTAACCCCTTCACGCCTAAGGGTAAAACAAATCTAAATGCCTAAGCACAATTCTGCAACGTTGACGTGTTAGTAAAACCGTACATATCGTCACAACTACTTTGTACATCCAGGTGGATTATACCTTGTTTTTTTCAGGACAAATTGGGCTTTCATTTGGTGGTAAATGGTCATGGATAGCTCCTAATTTTTTTTTATTATTAAAGGAAAACTGGGCCAAAATAGTAAAAAAAATCATTTTTTTTAAATTTAACTGTGTGTTTCTTGTTACGACCATAACCTACCACCAAAGAACAACTCAAAATACATTCTCCAGTTCTTGACGATCGCAGCGATACCATATATGTGTATGTTATTTGTTGTTTGTACCCGTAGTACTGTCCAGAAACAACAGTGCGCATTTTGTTTTTGTCTTTTTTTTTTATATAAAACACACTGTCACTGACATTGACATTAACACTAACTGACACTGATACCAATTTTTTTTTAAATCCTGACCTTTGCCCTTGACCCTGACCTTTGACCCTGACCTTGACCCAAACACTAACCCTGGTACTGAACTAGATCAAACCTTGATCTAGGTATTTTTCTTTATTTTTTCTTTTATTTTTTAATATTTATTTATCTTTTTTTTTTTTTTACAAACTTTTTTTTCTCTCTCTGTGTCAGGAGTTCGAGAGATACAATGTATCTCTCTTCTCCATTCATAGAGAGAGAGAAAACAAGGGGGCCGGGCTGCACAGTGATTGATCACTGTGATAGCCAATCAGAGGCTATCACAGCGATCACGTGACCCGGAATCGGGTCCCGGGTCCCGATCGTTAGAACGGGACCCGGGGCTCTCAGTGACACCGCGGTCTTGGTGCTGGGAGCGCGCTGAGCGGCGCGCTCCCAGCACAAAGACAGGTACGCAAATATGCGGCCCCACGGGAAAGAGCCCAGGTCCGTGAGGCCGCATATTTGTGTTACGTTGGCGTCAAGGGGTTAATCTATACATTTTTTCTGAATAGATAAAATAGAACAAAGTAAAAATACATCTTGTCTGAAACAGGGGGAGTCATGTAAAGACTTCATAGCCTGGATTTGTGGGACTGATTATTACCTAATAAATCCGTGGATGGACAATCTAGCAGGGTGGACTGAAGCAATGGGAAGTTCAAGTCCGTTCCCGAGAACAGGAGATAATGACACTTTTCATATGGATATGATAAAAGGCCCTAGCCCCGGACCGGCAGGTAGAACCAGACACAAGGTGGCAACACAGACCAAGTAATATCCATTTCTCACAGTAGGGGACACATTGATAATTAAATGTTTAGAAGTAGAAGACATTGACCATATTACAAAACATTGTCCCAAGCCCACTGTTACACTGGTATATTTAAAAAAGGCATCTAAAAACAGGAATTTCACACGGGAAGACATTAGACTGATTATTGACTCACTGGTTGATACCATCCGGTGGTGTCTGATATGCCATCTCTTTTTACAGCCATATCGTCTGATGCTGAATATTTTTCAGTAATTAACTTAGCTAATGCATTTTTAGCGCCCCTGTTGACGCAGAGACACAGCCCATTTTTGGTTTCTGTTTCCACGGCCGCCAGATGACCTGGTGTGAAATATCTCATTTTTTTTTTGTGGATTTTTCTGTAGTCTATTCAATTGTCCTCCAGGCCACTCTGAGGGGGTGGACACCGGTCCATGGATCAGTCCTGCTGCAGTACGCAGATAACATCTGCCTCTGCAGTCCCACTAAGGGGGCCGGCCTGAGGGACGGAGAAAAGTTTGTTAAAATGTCTTTTTTTGAAGGTGGACACAAGGTGTCAAAGAAAAAATTGCAAAACAAGTAAAACAAGTGTTGAATATCTGGGTTTTGTGCTTACAAAGGGGGAAAGGAAAGTCAGTCCAAAGAGAGCTGTGGCTTTCCTGAAATCTTGCCCGCCCACAAACCAAGAAAGATATGCTCTCCTTTCTTGGAGCCATTGGTTACTGCCACCAGTGGATACCTGACTGTTCCTATTATGATAACTTGTTGAGACAAGCCACAACCCAGGAAATGTCAGAAATTGTTAAATGGTCAGATGACATGGTTGCTGCTTATGTGTATTTGAAAAATGCAATGGTAACCGCCCCTGGCCTTGGCCTCCCTGACTATGTAAAAATGTTTCATGTGTATGTAAGGGACAATTGTAAGACCATGGCTGGTGTACTCACCCAAGAGCACGGAGGCAGACTTCGCCCTGTAGCTTTTTTTCTTAAGTGGTACCAGTTCAGGTCCAAGGCATGCCTGCGTGTCTCAAAGCGTTAGCATCTTCCGTTATGGCTGTGGAGATGTCTATGTCATTCACCTTAGGACACCCTACGATATTGCACACTACACATAATGTAGCTATTTTGCTAAAAAATATACACACTCAGCACAGGTCCTTTCTGAGGCTGAACGGTTATGAGGTCATTCTTTTGTCCAATCCTAATCTCACCATCAAATGTGCGTCAGCCACCTCAGGCCCTGCTCCCATTCTTAATGCTCTGTTAGGATTAAATGGGAGAAGATTTAACCACTTGACCTCCAAAGGATTTACCCCCCCTTAATGACCAGGCCTCTTTTTGCTACTCGGCGCTGCACTAATTCAACTGATAATTGCGCGGTCATGGAATGCTGCACCCAAACGAAATTTACGTCCTTTTTTTCACACAAATAGAGCTTTCTTTCGGTGGTATTTGATCACCTGTGCGCTTTTTATTTCTCACGCTATAAACAAAAAACGGCCAAAAAGTTTGAAGAAAAACAATATTTTTTACTTTCAGCTATAAAAAATATATAGTAAACTCAAAGTTAGTTATAAATTTAGGCCAAAATGTATTCTGCTACATGATTTTGGTAAAAAAAATCCCAATAAGTGTATATTGATTGCTTTGTGTGAAAGTTATAGCGTCTACAAACTATGGTATAGATACTGCAATTTACGCCATTTTTTTGCTATACAGCGCTACGCAGGTTGCTATTACCAAAGAGGGGAAGATTACTACATTGTGGTTCGATTCTTCTAACACCCATGTTGCTACCTTTTCCTTCACTTATGAAGACCTCACAGAAAGAAAGGATGAAGAGAGCAGCAGGAAAAGGGCGCACAAGAGGGAGGGAATAGGTCATATCTGTGTAACTGAGATTATTGGGGAGCAGTGGGATAGAACATAGGAACTGACTGGGATACAAACCTGACACGCCCATAAATAAGAACAAGAATGGAAAATCCCTCTTAAATAGAATAAGTCTTACCAAGCCCAATGCCAAATATACGTTTACCATAGAAAATCCCAGCCCTAGTGATTTGGGAATATATGTATTTGGATTATACTGGAAAGGGGGTATATTGGGCACAAGGACAAAAATTTAAGATACAAGATATGTATAACAACAAATGATTACAATCCCCTGAAGCCACACATCAGTACTTTTAGGGATATGATTGCCATCACTGATTCTTCTTTCGAAGATACCGTGGCAGCAGGAACAGGATTTTTAGATGTAAATCTTTGGTTAGAATGGATGAGGTACAGTGCCCTGCAGCACAAGTCTAATTGTTATGTCTGTGGAGCAGCCAGACCCCATGTGGAAACAGTGCCACTAAACCTTCCTGAAGATGTTGAAGAATGTTTCCTAAGTCTTTTTACATGAACACATAACAAAAATGCTTCCTGTGAAACCTGGAAAACAAAGTATCCCATAGTCACTAAAACCCCCAAACCCAGAAAAGGTTTGCAAATATACCCTGGAAATTACACTTGTTACAAAGGAATAGCGCATAAAAGAAGTTTGGGAAATTTTACATAAGGTTTTTGTAACACATACAGCAACATTTCATCTAGGCTTTTACAGAATCAGACACAATCTTTAGGTGATATCTACTGGATTTGTGGTGATGGGAAGATCAGGTCTAGATTAAAGGAGTGGTCTGGTGAGTGTGCTTTGGCCAAAGCTATTATGCTCCTGCATATCTTTAGTGAAATTCCCTCTGAGATCCCTGGAGATATAGCAGGAGGCACCCAGAGGCACAAGAGGGAGGCCCCGATGGGTAGTTTTGACCCACATGTTTATATAGACGCCATAGGGGTTCCAAGAGGGGTCCCGGATGAGTTTAAAGCCAGGGAGCAGGTCAAAGCGGGTTTTGAGTCAACCATTCCAATCATCACCATCAACAAGAATATTGATTGGATAAATTATATATACTACAATCAGCAGAGGTTTGTCAACTACACCAGGGACGCATTGAAAGGGATAGTGGAACAGTTGCAGGCTGACTCCGCCATGACCTTCCAAAATCGTATGGCCTTAGACATGATGCTTGCACAAAAGGGTGGTGTGTGTGTAATGGTAAAAGGAACAAGTACTTGCTGTACCTACATCCCAGACAACACTGGACCAAATGGTAAGGTCACTATGGCTATAAAAAAACTGTCTGATCTGTCAGAAGAGTTGAAAAGGAATTCAGGGATCATTGACCCATGGGATCAATATTTTGGGTGGCTCAAGGGATAGAAGCAGGTGCTAGCACAAATAGGGGTGATTATTGTAGTTACCCTGATACTCATAGCCCTGATAGTGTGCTGTGTGATTCCCTGTATAAAGAAGCTTATGAACAAAGGTATAGAAATTATATAAATAAACAGCGCAACATAGACCTTAATTCAAACCACAATAAATCATACAATATAAGTGTCCATTATTGAATCATAAGTGTATATATCAAAAGTGTATATATCAAAAAATCTTCAGAAAAAACAAACAAAGTCCCTTAAGAAGATAGCTGAAGATTCCAAAAAGATGTGTATAGCCTTTCACCTTTCACCCGTGTACACCAACATGAAATACACTCACCAGATTTAGGTGAGTAAGAAGGCTTTAAGGATTTTAAGGGAATCCTAAACCCCCTTTTCATCAGATCACTGATAGCCTCCCCTCCAAGTTTAGATCTTCTTTCAGGTCCTCACCGTATCCTCCTAGTTGGCTCCACCATACCGCCAAAGAGAAAGCTTATATAGTGTAATATTGCCACAATAATATTGTACCAAAGAAACAAATCCAGGCCACTCACATTTCAAAAGCTTATAACAGGCACTTTTATCAAGCCCATGACAGCCTTAAGATAACCAGCCAGCTTGATTCAGGAGTCCCACACCAATGCAGCCAGATAGAGCAGAGAGACAACAAAATCCAGCCTAGATCCCAAAATATGGCCGCTGGAGCGCACCGCTCGGCGTGCGCTCCACTCTCCGGAAGTGACGTCAGATGTATGGCAAACGACTGGAATTACGTCAACGCGTTTCGCCCCTCCCACCGGGCGTTCTCAAGACGTCCATTTCCTGCCTCCGACGTCTTAAATAGCTCACAGATGGCCCACCCCTCCCTCCTGATTGGACAATAAGCCCCTTCAGCAACACTAAACACCTCCTCTCCTGTCCATTGATGTGGGAACCCTTTACAGAAAGAGGAACTAACTTCAAACCGATTCTCATACTTTATACATCCATATAATCATCACATCTTGATACTACCATGGATTAGTATATATCACTCACGGCTCAATATTTCACCATATTTAAGCTATAATTCATATAAATCTTTATTAAAATCACTACATTAAATTAAATTAAATAAAAAATTTTTATTATAAAACTAGGAGGATACGGTGAGGACCTGAAAGAAGATCTAAACTTGGAGGGGAGGCTATCAGTGATCTGATGAAAAGGGGGTTTAGGATTCCCTTAAAATCCTTAAAGGCTTCTTACTCACCTAAATCTGGTGAGTGTATTTGATGTTGGCGTACACGGGTGAAAGGTGGAAGACTATACACATCTTTTTGGAATCTTCAGCTATCTTCATAAGGGACTTTAATTGTTTGTTTTTTCTGAAGATTTTTTGATATATACACTTTTGATATATACACTTATGATTCAATAATGGACACTTATATTGTATGATTTATTGTGGTTTGAATTAAGGTCTATTTTGCGCTGTTTATTTATATAATTTACTGTTTGTGTTTTTACACATTTTTTGCACAGCAGCAATTTAGAAGGGTGGTTTACTGTTTTTGATTGGCGCAGGAATATTTTTGGTTTTTTAAAGGTATAGAAATGACTATGTATGCAGAAGAGATCCAAGAACAAGCTGCCCCACTGAACCCAAAACCTAAGGAGTACTACAGTTATCTAGCCAAATACAGAAAGAAGCAGAAAAAGAACTATGTTGTATAAAGGGGAATAAAAATCATATATGCAAATAATGATTTAAGAGGGGATTGAAGGGAAATGTATGTTTTTGGTCTGTCCTCACTCCATGTTGTTTCTTGTACTCCATTTTGATTAATTGCTTTTGTATTATGCCCAGAATGAGTTAATGAAAATATGAAGACGTGCATGTAAAAGCTGTATATGTATTATAGAACTGTACTCACAATATTCTTTTATTTCTTATCTTAGCTTAGGCTTGGAAGAGGCAGGGATAGTATCCAATTATTTCTTTGTACTAACAGCACCTGTTTCTGCTATGATATAGTTAAAAGTCAAATACTTCTGTCCCATGGGAAAATAACTGTTGGTTACTTGTAACTGATTTCAAGGCCTGAGAAATCTCACGTTCACAGCCTTGACAAGTAGCCAGCGAAATCCTATTGTATGGTTTACGTTGTTACAATATAAGAGGAAGAACCTACAAATAAAGATTCAGATTGTCTTCTGGAAACCTGTGTGTGCATGCTAATTTCTTTCTTCCAGAACACAGTCTCTTAGGCCTAATGGGGGAGACCGAAATCTACCAGTGGTCATTGAAAGCACAAATCCCTTTCAACTGGGTGTCCAAAGATGGCGTCTATCGGAAGTGTGTCACTGTGCTCTGTGCGTTACTTCATGATACCATGTGGCTTCGTCAGGGATGGGTCATTGTTAGTGTTGAGAGTGGTGAGGAAGGTCGGTGCTGGGGTTGCAAGGATGGGTCAATATGTGGTGGACAGACGGGAGGGTGGGGGCAGTGTTGGGGGTGGTGAGGAGGATTGGTGTTTGGACTGCAAGGATGGGTCAGTATGTGGTGGAAGGGAGGGTGGAGCAGTGTTAGTGTTGGGGGCGGTGAAGAGGATTGGTACTGGGATTGCAGGGATGGATCATTATGTGTTGGACGGGAGGGTGGGGCAGTGTTGGGAGTGGTGAGGTGGATCGGTGCTGGGATTGTAGGGATGGGTCACTATGTGTTGGACGGGAGGGTGGGGCAGTGTTGGGGGTGTTGAGGAGGATCTGTGCTGGGATTGCAGGACTGGGTCATTATATGTTGGACGGGAGGGTGGGTCAGTGTTGGGGGTGGTGAGGAGGATCAGTGTTCACACTGCAAGGATGGGTCAGTATGTAGTGGACGGGAGGGTGGGGCAGTGTTAGGGGTGGTGAGGAGGATCAGAGTTGGGGGTGGTGAGGAGGATCGGTGCTGGGATTGCAGGGATGTGTCAGTATGTGGTGGACGGGAGGGTGGGGCAGTGTTGGGGGTGGTGAGGAGGATCGGTGCTGGTATCAGGGATGGGTCAGTATGTGGTGGACGGGAGGTTGGGGGCAGTGTTGGGGTAGTGAGGAGGATCGGTGCTGGGACTGTAGGGATGGGTCAGTATGTGGTGGACGGGAAAGTGGGGCAGTGTTGGGGGTGGTGGTGAAGAGGATCGGTGCTGGGACTGTAGGGATGGGTCAGTATGTGGTGGACGGGAGGGTGGGGGCAGTGTTGGGGGTGGTGAGGAGGACCGGTGCTGGGATTGCAGGGATGGGCCAGTATCTGGTGGACGGGAGGGTGGGGCAGTGTTGGGGGTGGTGAGGAGGATCGGTGTTCGGACTGAAAGGATGGGTCAGTATGTGGTGGACGGGAGGATGGGTCAGTGTTAATGTCGGGGGGTGGTGAGGAGGATTGGTGCTGGGATTGCAGGGATGGGTCAGTATGAGGTGGATGGGAAGGTGGGGGCAGTGTTGGGTTTGGTGAGGAGGATCGGTGCTGGAACTGTAGGGATGGGTCAGTATGTGGTGGAAAGGAGGGTGGGGCAGTGTTATGTTGGGGGTGTATGAGGAGGATCGGTGCTGGGACTGTAGGGATGTGTCAGTATGTGGTGGACGGGAGGGTGGGGCAGTGTTGGGGGTGGTGAGGAGGATCGGTTTTCGGACTGAAAGGATAGGTCAGTATGTGGTGGACGGGAGGGTGAGTCAGTGTTAATGTCGGGGGGTGGGGAGGAGGATCGGTGCTGGGATTGTAGGGATGGGTCAGTATGTGGTGGACAGGAGGGTGGGGCAGTGTTGGGGGTGGTGAGGAGGGATCGGTGCTGGGATTGAAGGGTTGTGTCAGTATGTGGTGGAAGGGAGGGTGGGGCACTGTTAGTGTTGGGGGTGGTGAGGACGATCGGTGCTGGGATTGCAGGAATGGGTCAGTATGTGGTGGACGGGGTGGGGCAGTGTTGGGTTGGTGAGGAGGACAGATGCTGGGATTGCAGGGATGGGTCAGTATGTGGTGGATGGGAGGATGGGACAGTGTTAATTGTCGGGGGGAGTGGTGAGGAGGATCGGTGCTGAGATTGCAGTGATGGGTCAGTATGAGGTGGATGGGAAGGTGGGGCAGTGTTGGGTTGGTGAGGAGGACCTGTGCTGGGACTGTTAGGGATGGGTCAGTATGTGGAGGACAGGAGGGTGGGGCAGTGTTGGGGGTGGTGAGGAGGATCAGTGCTGGGATTGCAGGAATGTGGTCAATATGTGGTGGACGGGAGGGTGGGGCAGTGTTGGGTTGGTGAGGAGGACCGGTGCTGGGACTGTAGGGATGTGTCAGTATGTGGTGGATGGGGGGTGGGGGCAGTGTTGGGGGTGGTGAGGTGGATCAGTGCTGAGATTGAAGGGATGGGTCAGTATCTGGTGGACGGGAGGGTAGGGGCAGTGTTGGGGGTGGTGTGAGGAGGATCGGTGTTCGGGACTGAAAGGATAGTATAGTAGGTCACCACTGCTCTGACCTCCACTTCCACCCCACCCTACATTCCTCATACTGAAGCCCCCCCAACACTACACAACGACAAGTCCGCACCTTTGACCTTACTATCATCGAGAAGTCTCCAAGATCCTCTCTGATGCCCGCCTCACCACCTGCCCCCTTGACCCTATCCCCTCACAACTCTCTACGACCTACCTCCCCCTCCATTCATACGCTCCATCACCCACATTTTTAATCTCTCCCTCTCCTCCGGCACTTTCCCCTCGCCCCTCTGAAACATGCACACATCACCCCCATACTTAAAAAGCCCTCCTTGGACCCCAATGACCCGAACAACCTCAGACCCATCTCCCTGCTCCCATTTACATCTAAACTCCTCGAGCGCCTAGTCTACAACCCGCCTAAGCTCTCACCTCAACGACAACAACCTCCTCGATCCCCTACAGTCCGGCTTCCGTCCCCTAACTCCACCGAAACTGCCTTACTCAAACTCTCCAACGACCTGCTAACCGCCAAAGCTAATGGCCACTATTCAGTGCTCCTACTCCTTGACCTCTCTGCGGCCTTCGACACAGTCGACCATCCCCTCCTCCTCAAAAAACTACAGTCCCTCGGGCCTCTCAGAGATTCTGCTCTCCGTCCTGGCTCTCATCCTACCTGTCACAACGCTCTTTCAGCGTTACCTATAATGCTACCACCTCCCCCTCACTCCCCCTCTCTGTTGGTGTCCCTCAAGGCTCTGTCCTCGGGCCCCTTCTCTTCTCCATCTACACCTCCTCCCTTGGCCAACTCATACACTCTCACGGCTTCAACTACCACCTCTATGCCGATGACACACAAAATTTATCTCTCAACCCCCCACCTTCACCCCCTCTCGGTCTCCGCCCGAAATCACACACCTACTGAGCGACATATCAGAATGGATGTCGCTTACCACTTCCTTAAACTGAACCTCTCCAAAAAAAACCGAGTTTCTTGTCTTTCCCCCAGCCCGGACACCACCCCCCCATTGACTTCTTCTCCGTCACATCCAACAACGCCACCATCAAACCCGCCCCGCAGGCCAGAGTACTTGGGTGTCATTCTGGACTCCAACCTATCCTTCTAGCCCCAAGTCCAATCTTTAACAAACTCGTGCAGACTCCACCTCCGCATACATCGCCAAAATACGTACGTTCCTAACCCCAGAAACCACTAAACAGCTCATCCACTCCCTCATCATATCACGACTCGACTACTGCAAATGAACTCCCTCCTCACTGGCCTGCCTCGCCGCTGGCTATCCCCGCTTCAGTCGATCCTGAAATACGGCTGCCAGACTCATTCACCTTTCCAACCGCTCCGTTTCCGCCCACCCCCCTCTGCCAATCCCTCCACTGGCTTCCGATTGCACAACGGATCAATTTTAAAAATCCTAACACTGACGTACAAAGCTGTCCACCATACTGCCCCGAACTACATCACTGACCTAATATCCAAGTACCGCTCAGCACGCACACTCCGCTCCTCACAAGACCTCCTTCTCTCTATTTCCCTGGTCTCCTCCTCCCATGCCCGCCTTCAATACTTCTCCAGGGTGTCACCCATCCTCTGGAACTCCCTGCCCCAACCCATCAGATTATCACCTACTCTCCTCTCCTTTAGGCGCACCCTGAAAACCCATCTCTTCAGGGAAGCCTACCCCACCCCCTGCTAACCTGCCGACCTCCTCCCCTCTTCCTACCACTCCATCCCCCACAGCTATCTCCTCCTGTACCACTATCCCCTCCCTCCTAGATTGTAAGCTCGAAAGAGCAGGGCCCTCGAACCCCGCATGTTTTGCATTGTATTGGTATTGTTCTGTCACATGTTCTGTCCCCCTTTGTAATGTACAGTGCTGAGCGAACCATTGGCGCTTTATATATACTGTATAATAATAATAATGTGGTGGACGGGAGGATGAGTCAGTATTAATGTCAGGGGGTGGGGAGGAGGATCGGTGCTGGGATTGTAGGGATGGGTCAGTATGAGGTGGATGGGAAGGTGGGGCAGTGTTGGGTGGTGAGGAGGACCGGTGCTGGGATTGCAGGGATGGGGTCAGTATGTGGTGGACGGGAGGGTGGGGCAGTGTTGGGGGTGGTGAGGAGGACCAGTGCTGGAATTGCAGGGATGGGTCAGTATGTGGTGGACGGGAGGGTGGGGCAGTGTTGGGTTGGTGAGGAGGACCGGTGCTGGGATTGCAAGGATGGGTCAGTATGGTGGTGGACGGGAGGGTGGGGGC